CTTCATTTTTGAATGAACAATTTTACATTCTTTTGGTTAAGTATGCGCAATGACTTGAAATAATTGGTACTTGTATCAAAATAAATTGTATGAACCTAAACATGAATAATAGAAGAGTAAAGGTGAAATGCAAGAGTATATGCCATAGATGTAAAGGTTCCAAAAAGTAAGATTACAAGACACATGGCTGTACAAAGGAATGACATTAAGGGGATAATAGGAGAATGCAACTAATTTATTCATAGTGAACTTGAAAGCCTTCCATGATTTTTGATGCTACTATTATCAGAATGGTTAAGTGTGGACTTTATTGTTTGAAGGGGGATAGTCAACTTGGAAAACAACATTGTCCTCCAGCTTTCTATTGGTGCTTTTTTGCCTTTTTTACCTGCAAACCTAACTTTGCAGAAAACGTTATTAGGCTTATAGCCTAAGGTGTTAAAAACCAATGATGTTATATTCCCCAGTCGCCACATAAGAGTCCCACAAAAAAGAGAAGGAAAAAAAAGGGAGCATACTAGAGCTGTCATCCCGTAATTGCTACTACTTCTGAAGGAAGCACACTTGTCTTGATGACCCTTTTTTTTGTGTAGAAAAATAGACCAGCTTCATTGATCTTCTTCCTAGTCCGATGACTTATATGCTTATTTTGGTGATCAACGCTGCAGGTGGAAGGGCCAAAATCTCCTGAAGAATTGCTTACAGTACTGCAAAGAGTGATCGAGGAAAGTGCCCCTGTGCTTGTCACGGCCAGGGTTGAGGCAGAAGAAAGAAGAAACAATATGCGTTTGAGAGAGGAGCAAGATGCTGCTTATCGCGCTGCGCTAGAAGCTGATCAGGTAAGTGCTTTTAGGTTCCGAATATGCCTTTCCCCTCTTCAAGTTATTTTTGCAAGTGGGTAAAATGCTTTGCATAGCTGAACTCTTTGCCCTTTATTAGGCTAGAGAGCGCCAGAGGAAAGAAGAGCAAGAGCGGCTGGAAAGGGAAGCTGCTGAAGCTGAAAGTAAAAGAAAGGAGGAAGAAGAGGCCCGGGAAAGAGCTGCCCATGAAGCTGCTGAAAGAGAAGCTACATTAGCTAAAATGCGCCAGGAGAAACTTTTGGCACTGGGAACTGAACCTGAGAAGGGTCCTGATGTTACTCAAGTAATCATCTTGCTCTTTATTCTGATATTATAAGTCTATTTTACAAAATTTGTGAAAGGCATGGTTTTTCCTGTAAGATAGAAACTTTAACTGCTCGAGTCTTATTTCATGATTCTCCTTTCATAATTTCATTTCATTCATTTGATTGTCCTAGCTTCGAAGAACATATACATGGAGGTAAACCATTGTTTGTAGAGTCTCGTTCAGTTCTGTCTTGAACGATTTCATCTGGAAAGATTTTGAATAGAGAAGATATAGTGCTAATAGAAGTTGTCCAGTAAAGGGATCTATCAGAAAGCATATGGAATCCTGAAAATTATCTTGTACTGGTTAACTGGTTTCTTAAGGTTGAGCAAAATGTACATGTTAAATGCAGATGATTAAAGGGGAAACAGAGGGCAATATAAAAACTGCAGAATCTTTAAATTTTATATGTGATTCTCAGTGATCAGAAAGATTTTGATGTTGATGTTTCTTAATCTTGTTTTGGTCATTCAGGTTTTGGTACGGTTTCCTACTGGAGAGCGCAAGGACCGGAGATTTCATTGTACAACAACAATACAATCGCTGTATGACTATGTTGATTCTCTGGGATGCCTTGAGGTTGACAATTACAGCCTGGTATCCAACTTCCCCCGCACTGTGTATGGCGCAGAGAAACTTTCTCTGTCCCTCAAAGATGCTGGATTACATCCTCAGGCCAGCCTTTTTATTGAGTTGAGCTCATGAGAACAGCATTAGACTGATGGTTCCAGTTAGAAGTCTTGTTCTAGAAAATTTCCTTCTGAAATATTTGTACTCAGCCATAGTTAGCAAATGCATTCATTAGACATATTGTTGCCTATACTATTCTACTGCTTTCTCTGATAACAGTAGGAAATAAGTGAATGGGATGATACTTCATTAGCAAATTCAAATACAAATTGTAAAGAAGCCTGTTTTACCATTCAGTATTAAAGCAACTGCGCTTTTACGGCAAGAAGGGAGAGACAACAATGTATTCTGCTTGTCAATTTCTTCAAGCCTTTACTAACATGGAGTCAAGTCTTCTTGTCCAATTTCACCTTCGTAACGTTGGTCTTTACACAAATGTTCTCCAGTTTCTTGCTCTAACAATTTAGTCCAGCAGTTGCTAAGACTAAGTAGAAGTGGAGCCTTAGAGCACCTGTAAAGTTGTTTCCATGCATGTAGGTCAGGAGTTTGAGCCGTGGAAGCAGCTGCTAATATTTGCATTACGGGCTCTGCATCAATGCGGAATGCTTTGTGCATCTGCCCTTTAGTTGCTGTTAAGCTGTCATTGACATGAATAACTTAAAGTGATGAAGAAAGACTAGCCACCAAAGTATCCCCATAATAGACACAGCTAACCGGAGCCCTATCAGTTCACAAGTTTTGTTTTTCGACATTATAGAATAAACAAGCAATAAACCAATAACAATTAGCCCTATAATCTATGCAAAGATCCTACACACAAAAAATAATGTAGAAAAAAGACATTAGGATAGTACTTATCATACTGTAAAAACCTGAAATATCCAAACCATGATTATGTGCAAAAACGAAACTGAACAAGTTGCCAAAAAATCGGTAAAAATTTGGCTTCGCCCGGACTCGAACCGGAGACCTTCAGTGTGTTAGACTTACGTGATAACCAACTACACCACGAAACCATTTTTGAAATCAATTTGCTCATTAAGTATATATTTAGATGCTATGAATCTTCTAGTAATAGTTCTCATAAGCAAAAGTTTTCGTTTTTGAGCTATGAATTGCTAAGATTCTATATATTCATTCTCTTACGAAACTCTCAGTTCAGTTTCTTGGCAGACGAAGAGTTTGCTGGAAATGTTAAATCGTGTTTAAAAAATTGAAAATGAAAGTTCAATGGAAAAAAACAACGTTATTAACGTAAGATTGCTAGAAATCCACTGGACATATAACTAATATGAATATTAATGAGCAAATTGATTTCAAAAATGGTTTCGTGGTGTAGTTGGTTATCACGTCAGTCTAACACACTGAAGGTCTCCGGTTCGAGTCCGGGCGAAGCCAGTATTTTGCTTGTATTTTTGGCAAATTGTTCAGTTTGGTGTTTGCACATAACTCATGGTTTGGATATTTCAGGTATTTACAGTGTAATAACTACTAATCCTATTGTCTTTTTGTTATTATCTTGAACTTCTCTGTTTCTTTTCATTTGGAAAGAATGACAAAGAGTAGCCCGACGCTTCAGGTTTAAATTTTGCCATCAAATGTGCAGTATTATTAGCAATCTTCACGTGAAAATTGAAAATGCCGGAAATTAAGTACATCCTCTGCTGCACTTAGAATATGTTATTGCCGCGAAATTATGTAAACAATTCTTTCTGCGGTATCATGAGAATGAATTGATTTTTACATACATGCTCATTAAGTGAGTCTTCATAAGGAGAAGTGTTTGCTTTTGAGTCGTAGAGGTTCTGTGTTCTCTCTCAGTTACANAGAAAGTCCCTTACTTCGGCTAGTAAGGATTTTCATTTTAGGTAAGCAAGCTGCAGCGCGAGTACCCTTTTTTTTACTTTTGCTGCAATAGAGGAGATTTCCATTGGACTAGTTAAAAGACTTAGATAACACACCGGGTTTACATAAGAAAAAGTTCACGTAGAGAAAAGAGATTAGACTAGTCATTGCACTAGTAGCGTCTACGAGCCTCCCGCTTCGGTACCATCTCCTTTTTTACCAGCCGAGCTGCCCTGTCAACCCTGAGTTTTAGTGTTCTGTTTCTTAGTACATGAAGAGTTTATGGGATGTTTTGCTGTATATTCAAAAGCTGTACTGGTTTTACCGGGATAGAAAATATTACTCCTTCCGTTCCAATTTATGTAAACATGTTTGGTTGGGCAAGGAGTTTAAGAAAAAGATGAAGACTTTTAGAACAAGTCAGCATATGTATGGCTATAATTTTTTGAAACTTGTGGTGGTAAACATGTCAAAATATTTGTGTGGTTATAAAAGTTTCTCGTTTAAGGTAGAATTAAAAATTTTAGCTAAATTATTTCCAAATATAGAAAAGGGTCATTCTTTTTTGAACGGACCAAAAAGGAAATAAGTTCACATAAACTGGAACAGAGGGAGTGTGTTACAACCAAAAGGTCTGCGGATACACAATCCTCCTCAGACCCCATGGTGTGGGATAATACTGGGTATATTATTGTTCTTGTAACCAAAAGGTCAAAGAGACATGAGTTATGTGAAGTAAACAAGTTGAAGGACGTCAACCATCGTATGAAAGAAAATCCCAGCGAGGCATTTCCTTTCCAGCAACAAATATAGATAACAGAAGAGCAACAACAACCCAGTAGAATCCCACTAGTGGGGTTTGGGGAGGGTAGAATGTACGCAAATCTTACCCGTACCCCGAAGGGATAGAGAGGCTGTTTCTGGGAGACCCTTGGCTCAGAGACAATAGATAACCACAACAGAAACCAGAAAAATAGTATCAGCATCGTAAAATACAAATATAGATAACAAAAGTAGCAAAAATTAAACTGTGGACAAAGCAACCACATTCACTTCATTTTCCTTCACACTTCCTCTCTATTCATCAAAGAAACAACCGTCTACATATAGGAGCCAAATCTCACTCAACAGCCAAACACATTCTTTCTAAGAAACCATAGTTCAACTGAACTTCTGAACAAGTTCATAAGAACTTCAACTGCTACATCTATCGAGTACAGCTGCAACGTTTCCCGAGTTATTATCAAACATCTTTCATCATGTCACAATGTCAATCTGATAGACTTTTCCAAGTGTAAACAAGAAAAGCAAAGAAGAGAATTGAAGAATTATCCATGACAAAGAATTCACGCAGTCTATAGCAGAAACCAAGAGGAGCAGATATTATAATTTTGTGATATTTACAAATTATGATTTTGGAGATAAAATATTTACAAGATTGTTCAGGATGTTCAATCCAATTGGACAATAAACATAAGAAATTTACAGATCAATGAATTGACATTTTGAATTGATGAGAATTGATTTAACATCTAACATGTATGAACATCAACACACTTTCACAGACTTCACAGTGGACTACCAGTTATCCTTGACAATCTTTGACTTCTCAAGCACGAATTTCCCTTCCTTGTACTTCTGCGTCTCTTCATAAGCTCGTTCGTATTTCCAGCCAAGAACCTCACGACAGTCGCAGCAATGGACATCAGCAACTGTATGGAGGCCCGTCATTAGCTGTCTATCCTCTTTTGGCCCCACGACTATGTTCATTGCATGAGAAAACAAAAATGCTCGACCATTTCTTCCCTAATGTCAAATTAGGCAACAATATATTCATGATAATATCTCAAGTTAACAAAAGGATAGATTTTGAACTGAAATAGATAACATAGAAAAGACGAAGATATATTCCCCATTAAGCCACATTTTTCCAACTTGTTTCCTTTTCAGCTATGTCGCACGGACTCTCCAAAATGTTGTTTCACCGTGTCGGATCCGACATGCACCCAACAACATTTTCGGAGAGTCCTAGCAACATAACATACAACCTACCTGATTTGCGAGAGCAATGGGAGACTTGCTCCATAGAAACCCCCCCAAAGAGACTTTCCTCCCCAGTATTCTCTATGGGCAAAGGCACTCAGGTGCGCTTAAAGTCTTATTGCCTATATCTTATCTTACGACAAGGTCGCCACCCCGCCTTCTTTTTCAGCTATGCATCTGAACTACAAACACATAAATGCTCATTTCAATAGCATAGGAGCCACTTTTCTTGTATACACGGAAAGATCATTGCTTTGCTGTTAGAGATGAGTAGAAAGAGGTGTGACAATCCAATTATCCAACTTCATAGTGTTATCTTTGACACTGTAAACACTAGTGGCAATGGCTAACTAAAAAACTATCACTACACAACACAACAACAGCTACGCCTCAATCCCAAACAAGCTGGGGTCGGCTAAATGAATACTCACTGAACATGTTTCTCCACTTAAATTCATCTCAGGCCAACAATATACAATCACCATATGCTTAATAAAATATTCGCATTCATATAATTCAAAGCGAAATGAAAAAATCCCAAAATTCCTAACCTGAAAAGCCTTAGAAATGATGTCATCGTGTAGTGCAACTTCATTCTTACAATTGCAGCAACTGTACAATCTAGGGCCAATAATTTCAGCCATTGATGATCAAAATAAGCACACTTTTCTCAATAGCTGTGACACTCTTCTAAGATCATCACAGCAATATGTTAATTACCAAGCAGAATACAGTTCCAATAAAACCAAATTAACCACAAAAACAAAGTGCAAAGCAAAAAAAGATTATACCTTTATATCTTCAAGAACTACAATATGCTATCTACTCAGCCTTTCTTCTTTGACCAAAAAAGTGTATCTGTTTTTATCTACAAAAAGAAAAAAAGGCAGTTAAACAGTGGTGATCTTAACCATCAAAATCAAGTTTTGTTGAAAACCAATTAGGACATAATCATTAAGTGATGATCTTAGATAATATACCAAGAAAAAAAAAAGGGAAACTTGGGAAAACTAAGCAACAAAGATCCAATTTTTATCTTAGAGGGGGAAAGAAAAAGGAGAAAAAGAGCACAACCCAGTTGAGAAAAAGTAAACCCCATTTGGAAATAGTAGGTGAAAAGTCAAGATGCTGCCATTTCAAGGGGGGAAAAAAAGAAAATAAATTCAATGAATACAACTAAAAAGTATAATTATCTGTGTAGGCTGCAACTTTTAATGAAAGAACTTCTCTAGCTCAAAATTAGATAGGGATTAGCTATGGATATTAGCACTTGCTAAATCAAAAAATGAAAGAAAAAAAATTAGTGCCAAAATAATATTCCTGTTATTAATTACTATAATAATTATCTGTGTAGTTAAGGAGTCAAGAAAAGACCTGGTCATAGTGTCAGGGTAAGCAATGGCAGATTTGATCAGTTGGTTTTCAGAGAGAGAGAGAGAGAGAGTGTGTGTGTGTGTTGGGGGGTTGTCTGTACAGTGGGGTAAAGCAAAGAGGGGTGTCGGAGTTTGGTGAGTTTATGATTACAAAAGATGACAAGCAGATGAATTGGAAGCATCAAGATAGACGACAACGTTTCAAGTGACTAATATTTTGATGAGAGTACATGCTCAATTCAAAAATAGCTAGCGTTTATAAAGTCATTAAAAAATAGCCACTATTTTGCTGCAACACAAAAAGTTTCAGCATAATATACTGGAGATCGGTGCACTTGTGTATGAACTTCCAGCATATTATGCTGGAACTCCAACATGCGGAAAGTTCCAGTATAATATACTGGAGATTGGAGCACCGATGTTCCAATCTCCAGTATATTATGCTGGACTAGTATATTATACTGCAACTCCAGTATATTATATTGGAGTTCCAGTATACTTATGCTGGAACTCCAGTATATTCTACTGAAGTATTTTTCGGATTTTGAATAGTGTTTTTGTTCAGATTTATCTTTACAGAATAAGTGACTAAATTTCGATTACTTTTGAAATTATAACTATTTTTGAATGACCACTTGTAAATCTGGTTATTTTTGAATTTCTCCCATTAAGGCCATTTACTAATGATTATGGACTCTGTTTTTTACTTGTTTTGTTCCAAGGTGTTTACATAAGAAAATAAAAAATACTTTTTGACATATGTCTGACTTATATTTAACGTATATATTAGATATATGTAAAGTATTAAAATTGTTTGTTGAAATGACTGATTTTCATGTCTTTTATTATTTTTTTCCCCTTCTTATAAAAAAAGAAATTTTATATTAAACGAGTTTCAATAAGTTTATGGTAAAATGGAGATATTTTTAAGTTGTTTCCTAAAACAAGTGCAATATCATTCCTTTTAAGATTTAGTTTGGATGAAAAAAGGGCAACAGAATGGTGGTCATGCCAACTATGTTGTATAAGGCTGAATATTGGCTAATCAAGAGTTCCCATGTCCAGGAAATGAAGGTAGCAGAAATGGGAATGTTGAGATAGATGTGCGAGCACATCAGGTTAGATAGAATTAGGAATGAAGTTATTGGGGACAAAGTGGGTGTGGCTCCTATTGAGGACAAGATACGGGAAGCGATGTTTAGATGGTTTGGACATGTGAGGAGGAGAAGTACAAATACCCCGACAAGGAGATATCAGAGGTTAGCATTGAAAGGCCTAGGGAGGGGAGAGGTAGGCGGAAGAAGAATTGGGGAGAGGTGATTAGGCAAGACATGACGCAGTTCCAGCTGACCGAGGACATGACATTTGATAGGAAAGTGTGGAGGTCGAAGATTAATGTATAGTAGGTTAGGTAGTCTAGTGTTTTTCTTGTCATACCGGTAATACTAATACGCACTTTCGTTATTCTGTTGGTATTAGGTTTCTATGATTATCTGTCATTTTTTTCATTTCGGTCATCTTACTATCTTGTTGTTATTTATGCTACTTTTACATGGCTTCTCATTGTTGCCCCTTCTTGTTTTTCTTTTCATTAATGTAATACTTATGCCTTCCTGAGACGAGAGTCTATTGGAAACAACTTCTCTATCTCCACAAGATAGGGGTAAGGTCTGCTTACATACTACCCTACCCAAACCCACTATATGGAATTATAGTGGATATGTTGTTGTTTATGGATGAAAAAGGGATAGCCCTACCCAAACTCAATACTGTAATAAGTCGTATTTGATCATTCATTCCATTGAATCTGTGCGCGTCTTCTTGTGCATCAACATCGTATTAATGATCAAGGAGAAGATCACAATTGTGATCAATAGCATCTCTACATGCACAAGGTAAGAGTAAGGTCTGCCTACACATTATTCTCCCCAGATCTCATTTTACGAGAATAAACTGGGTATGTCGTTGTTGTATAAACTATACTTGTTCTATTCTAATCTTTGTACCAAAACACAACAGAAGCACGTATTGTCCATCAGTTTTAGACCAAGCTTTTGGATTCAATTAGCTTGGATCCAACCTATGCATTGAAGCAGATAGGAACCAATTGCGATTAAATAGATTTTTGTATATACATTGAAGTAGTCAAAGTCTAAACATAGAAGACTAAGTGAGATATGAAGTATGGCGAATACTTTATATTCATTTTACTCTAATTCATTCCAATATCAATTGAATGAGTCTCTAATTGTGTGAAAAATGTAATACTATGGATACATTGAAGCATCAATCCCTCGAACTTCTTGAACTTGGCTACATTGAAGCATCAATTGAGCAGCACATCTATTGCAAAGCTTGTAAGAAAGAAGTTAAAAGGTCGTACCCTAATATGTCTAAGGTGATCATTTGGTCAAGAATGATATAGGATGCCAATGATATAAGCAACTCAAATTCTAGTCCCATTACTCAAAAATCAACAAAAAGGCAGAAAACATAAATCTTCCAAAATCTACCACTAAACCTAACAAAGTTCAAATTTTTATTCACTCCAGTACTTCTCTTCACCATGCTTAGTATCTTTCTGATCATTATCATCTTCACATCCATCAACCAAACTCATCTTAAACTTCTTCATACCCTCCACAGCAGCTATTCTAAACTGCTATAGAGTATTTGTATTTTGTAAGGAACTGCTAAAGAAGCAAATTTTCATGCCAAGACTCACTGTCATACTCAAAAGAAGTAGAATTAGAGCCATTAGCAACTAAAACAATTACGAGTACTAAAATACAACAACAACAACAACAACAACAACAACCCAGTATAATCCCACTAGTGGGGTCTGGAGAGGGTAGTGTGTATGCAGACCTTACCCCTACCCTGGGGTAGAGAGGCTGTTTCCAATAGACCCTCGACATCCTTCCCTCCAAGAACTCCCCACATTGCTCTTGGGGTGACTCGAACTCACAACCTCTGGGTTGGAAATGGAGGATGCTTACCATCAGGGCAACCCACCTCGTAATCAATGAAAAATCAGCTAAATAGAGGGGGGAGGAACAATTAACCAAAAGTTTTCTCAGCCAGAGAAAAGCCTCTATTGCATAAGAGGCTCGAATTCTAAACTTGAGTTGGTCCAATTACTCAAAATCAAGAAAAAAGCATAACATAAAATCATCCAAAATCTACCACGAAAACTAACAAAGTTAAAATTTCTGTAACAAATGCTAAAGAAAAACATTCAAAACAACACTGTTAGCCACAACCACAAGAGTTAAATTATAACAGCTAGCAATTGAATTACAAGTAGTAAAAGAATAAACCAAAAATCAACTAAAAAGTAAGAAACAATAAACCAAAATCTAAAATTGAACTAGTCCCATTACTCAAAATCAAGTAAACAAACAGAACATAAAATCTTCCAAAATCTAAAGTACTATAGATGAGTACTCCTATTTCATAAGGAACTGTTAAAAAAGAAGCAAACTTTCATGCCAAGACTGATTGCCACACCCAAAATTCCTCAACAAAGTAGAATTATACCAGCTAGCAACTAAACCAATTTCAACTACTAGAATAATCAACGAAAAATCAGCTTAGAAGAAGAAAACAAACAACTCTCGATCAGACAAAGAAAAAGCTCTATTGCATAAGTAGCTCAAATTCGAAACTTAAAGTAGTCCCGTTACACAAAATCAAGTAAAGAAGTACTTCTCTTCACCATTGATTTTTGTAAAGAACTTTTAGAAAGAAGCGAAATTCCATAGCCAAGACTGATTGTCATATAACCAAAATTCCTCAACAAAGAAGTAGAATTAAAACAGCTAGCAACTAAAACAATTACAACTACTTAAACAATCAACAAAAAATCAGCTGAATAGATATGAAACAATTAACCAAAAGTCTGAGCTCTAGTGCATAAGAGGCCAAGTCCCATTACCCAAAATCAAGAAGAAAAAAAGCATAACATAAATTCTTCCAAAATCTACCACAAACCTCACAAAGTTCAAACTTTTATTCACTCCAGTAACTTTTTTATGACCGAGCTATCGGTTGGGGACCCAACACAGCTGGCAACTAAGTACTTAAGCAATTAACCAAAAATCAGCTAAAAGACTGAATCAACTAACCAAGTATTGCTCTATTGCATAAGTAGAGCAAATTCTAAACTTGAGCTAGTCCCATTACTTCAGAAAAGAAAAGCATAACATAAAATCTTCCAAAATTTACCACAAAATCTAACAAAGTTCTTTTTGTTATGACCGAGAAATCTGTCTAGGCCAACCCTTAAGAATTTGAAACTCGCGAACAATAAGCTCGCCCCTCTATCCTTCTCCATTTTTATTCACTCCAGTACTTCTCTTCACCGTCTTTACGATCTTTTTCATCACTATCATCTTCAGAACCATCAACTACACTCATCTTAAACTTCTTAACATCCTCCACAGCAGCATTTCTAAACAAGCCAATATCCACTGCACCCGAAACCATATGATACCCTCTTGATTTCAACTTCTCAGGTCCATCGTGTGGCATTGCAAATCCAGATAAGTAGGCTCCACCTTCAGCTGGGGCGCGCTTTAACACTCCCTTTTCAGCTGCATTCAGTACTTCCCTCACCTTCTTATGCCCTGGGTCCCACAAGTACCCTAAACTCGCACTTAAATCCAACGGCCCCATTTGAATGCAATCAACCCCTTCAACAGCCGCGATGTCTTTTATATTTTTTACGCCGTCAGTGCATTCTACTTGACACATGATTAGTAAATCGTCGGAATAATTGCTTAGATACCCTTCGTCTATTCCGTAGCTCGAGGCTCGAACGACAGTGTGAGCTGATCCCCGGATTCCGTTGGGAGGAAAACGGCAGTAAGAGACGGCCTTTCGGGCAGATTTCGGGCCGTCAATCATGGGAAACATGATACCCTGCGGGCCGAGATCGAGGGCTTTTTTAGCCCAAGTAGCAGAGGATTCTGGGATACGGAGGATGGCAGGGGTGTTAGTGGCGGCTAAGGCGTGGAGGCACGGGAGGGCATCGGAGATACCGCCGTAGCCATGCTCCATGTCGACGACGGCGAAGTCGTAGCCGGCGAGACCGGCGATTTCCGCCAGAGTTGGAGAGAAACTGAGGAGGAAAATGCCGTAGAGGGTTTC